AGCCAAGCATCAGCATGTCTGAGGGTGGCAGATGAGGGAAGCCACCAGACCAGGCAGGAGTCAGAGAAGTCTGTTTTGGTATCATCTCTTAGACCTACTACATGGGCAAGTTATTCACTTCTCTAAGCGTTTTTCTATTCTATCTCCTGTTCATATATTTATTTCTTAACCCTCTTCAAACCCTACAGGGAACTCTACTAGGACATGAGTTCTCTTCAGTTCTCTTCCAAGTTCCTTATTTCTGTCATTACAGTGGAACATACAATTGTGGCCAGTCTTCATTGCATCTGAGAGCTCTGGCTTAACCTAAGGATTAAATAGGTTTTTATATGGCATGGTGATGGATAATGTCCAAGGTCTGCTAATGGACAAAATTCTACATATCTAGAAGCCTGCAGATTAAGACACAATCTTCTAGTGTCCGTGTCATCACATTGGTAGGCTTTAGAGTTTACTGCTTGTAACACCCCTTTGAAGAAGATTCTAGAGATAAGGAAATCTCTAGAAGATTCTAGAGATAAGGAAAAACTGAGATTTAGGTGAATGGAGTTACTTACTAAAGAACACCCAAAAGTAGCAGTGGCAAAACTTGAACTCAGTTTTCCCAACTACAAGACAAAAAAGCTCTTTCTACTACCCCACTGTATTGCAGCTATAAGAGCAGAAACCAAGTTACTATATGTTATAAAATCCTCTTTTTTTGGAGTAAATCACTCAGTATTTTGAAAACTAAAGTATGCTTTATTTACCAAACATTATTATTCTAGTGGCCTGAAAGAGGGCACTTGAATATGGGCATATAGACAGTACAATGCATAGTACTGAAACTTATTACGAGTTCGGTGGTGAACCAAAGAGATAAAAGGATTTCAAAAGTGGAAGTTACAACCAAAAGCTCATATGAAGTATGGCTCTGCAGAGGGAGGATTTCGAGAAAGTCACTGGGCAGGAAGGAGTAAGGGGAGGAAGTAGCTAAGGGCTAATGTCTAAAATATTCATAATTAGAAAATGGATGAATTAGCACTATTTAGATACTTCTACTAGGAAGAGGAATCATCTATCAGTTGTAAAACTGCTTGATTTTTTAAAAATGGGGGGGTGGCATATAAGTTTTAAAAAGCATTAACAGAGCCTAGGTCCTTGCTGTGACCCAGTAAGTGTAAATTATAAATACATTTCAATTTTAAGGAGTGAAATAACTCAAAAGAAAGCAAAAAACAAGCTCATAATGGTAAGAATTAGAAAATTAATAAATTTTTATTTATACTTTTATTATCAAGGTTAATAATTTAAGATTTTATATCAACATATAGAAGATTTGATTGTGCCAGTATTCTTAAGCATATTTTAAATTATTTATAGCCAACAATGGTGCCAGTTAAGACAAAATTTCTTAGAGCAGTTAGTGACCCTTCACAATAAGAATATAAATAAAATCATGGTTTGTTTATTTTCTAAACACACCTTTGCAATGCCTATTAGGTGGTGTTTTATTTTTAATCTCTGCTTACAAAGCCTATGTCACATTAGTATAAGCAAACTCTTTTGTAATATACAGGAAATGTTAACAAGTCATGTTTTTCAGGAATAATTAAATTCATGATCTCCTCTTTTGAAAACATGACTCGCCAATATTTAGAACAGTACACTTCAATTTTCTGGGAAAAGAGTAAAGGTGAAAAATTTTTATTTTGGAATAACATTTTACCTTGACTTTAGCTCCTCCTTTAAAAAGCCCTCCCATGGCAGCATTCAATTTTCTTCCCTGGACAATAAATGGCATCAATAATCTTATTATTAATACCAATGTATTACCTTGGCTAGGCTGGGATTTTGTCTAAAGCCATGAAATCTTGATATTATGACTTCACAGCCCCTTTGTCCTCCTATTTTCTTTCTCCTGAATCCCTTCATGTGAACTTCAGTTTCAAAAGAATTCCAAGAAGCTACCAAGGCATGACCTTGCCTCCTTTCTTGAAATGTTAGCTAAGGATGAGAAGGCAAGCCGTGCTTGCCTGTTTCCCCTTTGAATCCTTTAAGTCAGTGATAAGAACATGCTCTTTAAACCAACAAACTTTTGTGCAAGGAAGCAGAACTATTTCTTTAACAAGCACAATGGATTGGGTCTGCAGTTTCTTGTTCTGAGAGAAAGTTAAGTTATCCATAAAAGTTGTTATAACTTCAGGTTTCACTTATATCAAACACTAACCAGCTTAGGTCATCTCAGATATTTTAATGTTCCAATGGAACATCAAAAAATGAACAGAATGGTTCATTTTTTCCCCCTTCATTTAATAGAGTAAGAATCACCGTTTAAGAGCAAATTCTATTTCAATCTACCAAAAAAAAAAAAACCTGACTGTTCTTAATCTTAAAATCTTCAATTGATCTAATAGAGTAAGAATCACCGTTTAAGAGCAAATTCTATTTCAATCTACCAAAAAAAAAAAAAAACCTGACTGTTCTTAATCTTAAAATCTTCAATTGATCTTTTCAGAGTTTTACAAGTATTTACTTTTTTTGTAAAAGCGTTTACTTTCTTATGGAAAAACTTAAAAAATGAATTATTCTGCTCATATTATATATTCTTAAGTTTAATTCTTATTAATTCTATATTCTTAATGTATATAATATATATATTCTTAATTTAAGTTTAATTATTCTTAATTCTATATTTTTAATTCAAATTTAAGAGATTTTTAATTGTCAGATATCAGGTCCTTGGAAGTAAAAGATGTTTTAGAATCTTTTTCGCTAATATGGCTTTTTTTTTCTCTCAGGTCTACGTCACATAACAATTCTGAAACTTTTGGGAGTTGGAGAAGAAGTTGGGGGAGTTTTAGAACTGTTCCCAATTAATGGTAATATGTTATTATTTTGAAACAGTATGAGCTAGTGTTAAGTTCAGTCAAATTATATTAAGCTATATTCAAGCAGTGGGTGTACCTCTAAGGTGAACAAAGTTCACCAAATCCTCCCCCACTTAGTGTGTGTGCAGAGGATGTGTGTAGGGGCTGGGGGGAGTGGAGTGTAAGGAGTAATACTATTTTTTTTTTTCCGTTTTGTCTTTTTTTTCATGACCGGCAACGGATCGCAACCCTCAGTGTCGCGCCCGTACCGGACCGGGACCGGCAACGGGATCGCAACCCTCGGTGTTGCGCCCGCACCTCGCTCAGCCAGTGAGCGGCCGGTCTGTATGTGGGATCCGAACCCTCGGCAGGAGCGCCGCTGCGCTCCCAAGCGGTGCACTGTAGCAGTGTGCCACCGGGCCGGCCCAATACTATTTTTAATATAAAATCATTTAAAGTAATAGTAAAAATATCTTTAATGCTTTTTTGTCTGGTTAGAGCTTTATGGCTTTCAAAGCATTTTCTTCTACGTTATCTCATTTAATTCTCACAATAATTTTATGAAGCACTGATTCCCTTTCAACATAGAAAGACGTATACTACTTTCAGAGAAGCTGAAAGAAAACAACTAGTGACTGAAGGTTTCAGAAAGGAAATCCAGTGCTTCTTTCCAAGACCAAGCTCTTTAAATGAGATAATGTGTGTAAAATACCTGGCACGGTGCCAGACAGAGCAGACACCCCCCGCCACCAACTAAGTGTCAGCTCCTTTTCTCCTTCCCCTCTCTTCTTTTTACTAATCATAATAGTTTAAATACACTCATTCAGATCTTTACATAATTGGTATTTTTCACCTTTGACAATGAGATAAGCTTCTTGTCATAAAGACAAGTGTCAAAAGGAAAGCTGTAATTGCAAGGAAGTAACCAAGTTAATTGGAAATAAACCTAGAAACTGATTTTTCCAGGATTAAATTAAGGGACTAGTTTTATATTTTATAACATTCCTACTAAAGAGACATCACATGCCCCAAAAAGGTTGACACTAATAATTTTGCAGAACAACAGGGAAATTTAATTTCTAGTAGGGGGGAAAAAAAAACCCAGCAGTGAACATCTTTAATTGGATTGTGAGCCAAAGAGAACAGGCTCATGGGTCCTCTCTCTATTCTCACAGTGATTTCCTCTCACTTTGATGCTTTCATGAGCTGACTCTTTAATCCACTAACAACTATTCTAATGCTATTCTAGGGAGCTCTGTTGTTGAGCGAGAAGATGTACCAGCCCATTTGGTGAAAGACATACGTAACTACTTTCAAGTGAGCCCAGAGTACTTCTCTATGCTTCTAGTTGGAAAAGATGGAAATGTCAAATCCTGGTATCCTTCCCCAATGTGGTCCATGGTGATTGTGTATGATTTAATTGATTCTATGCAACTTCGTAGACAAGAAATGGCCATTCAGCAGTCACTGGGGATGCGCTGCCCAGAAGATGAGTATGCAGGCTATGGTTACCATAGTTACCACCAAGGATACCAGGATGGTTACCAAGATGACTACCGTCATCACGAGAGTTACCACCATGGATACCCTTACTGAACAGAAATATGTAACCTTAGCCCCAGCCAGTTTCCCCCGCAGCTGCTAAAGCCACACGTGACCAGCTATGTAAGCAGTTCTTCCACACTGCCAACATCTCCTGCCTTTTTCTTCCAGTGTTCTTCCAAGATTAAATAAATAGCAAACTTTTGCCTACTCATGAACTGTTATCAAAGCCTTAAATCATAAATACACTTAAAAGAATTGTTTGTTTCTCTGACTGGAGGGGATCTGGTGCTAAATAATGGTACTGAAAATGTATATTATTTTCCTTTTCATACATAATGGAGACTATTTGGTACAAAAAATTCTATAAACAAGTATTTATACCTCTTTTCCTTATTTTTTGTATTCATTAGTAAGTGAAAACTATAATTGTTAAAGAGGAGTAAAGATGGCAGCATAAATGTTTTCAGGAAACATCTGAACAGGTAGAATAGAGAACAGATAGCTTCTTAACACTTGTAATGCAAGTCTGAAAATAATTAATATACCTCTGCTTTGTATAAGCTTTTTACATGACACTTGATATCACAAGAGTCCAGTGGTATTGGCCATCAAAGCCAAAGAAAATACAAACCCAGCTTAGAGGTGATACTTCCAGAGTTCTAGAAGGTTGCCATGGAACTCCTGGCATGGAAAACCTTGGCCTCTCACAATTGACCTGCTGTACTTAATTGCTAATGGGCCTATCATCATACTGGCATTTCGTAAAAAAAAAAAAAAAAAAAAAAAATTACAAGGACAGATTATATCCAGGGGTCCTTTTTGTTTTCAAAGGTAAATGTTACCAAGTTATAGTGAATAAAAGTGTAGCTGGTGTGCAAAAGGGTATAATTCTTGCCTTTGAAAAGAGCATTTACTTTTTACATATGGAATATCAAAGTAAATCTCTCCCTCCTTTCATCCCTGTCTCCCTCCCTTCCTTGCTTCTTTTCCTACTGTTTTTTATTTTCTTTACAAATATGAGGGTACTGCAAAAGATTTCAAAAGGACATAGAAAGATAGAAAGACATTCCATGTTCATGGATTGGAAGAATTAACCTTGTAAAAATGTCCATACTACCCAAAGTAATCTACAGATTCAATGCAATCCCCATCAAAATACCAATGACATGCTTCACAGAAACAGAAAAAACAATCCTAAAATTTATATGGAACAACTGAAAACCATGAACAGCTAAAGCAACCCTGAGCAAAAACAAAAAAAGCTGGAGGCATTACACTACCTGACTTCGAATTATACTAAAAAGCTACAATAAACCAAACAGCATGGTACTGGCATAAAAACAGATATGTGGATGAATGTAACAGAATAAAGAACCCAGAAATCAACCCACATACTTACAGCCAACTAATTTTTGACAAAGGCAGCAAGAACATACATTGGGGAAAGGACAGCCCCTCCAATAAATGGTGCTGGGAAAACAGGATATCCATATGTAGAAGAATGCAATTAGATGGGTACCTCTTGCCAAATACCAAAATCAACTCAAAATGGGTTAAAGACTTAAATAAGACCTGAAACTATAAAACTCCTGGAAGGAAACATAGGGGAAACACTTCAAGAAGTAGGACTGGGCAAAGACTTTATGAATAAGACCCCAAAAGCACAGGCAATAAAAGAATAAATAAGTGGGATTATACCAAATTAAAAAGCTTCTGCACAGCAAAGGAAACAATCAAAAGAGTGAAACGACTACCTGCAGAGTGGTAGAAAACATTTGCAAACTATGCACCCAATAAGGGATTAATATCCAGAATATACAAGGAACTCAAACAACTTCACTGTAAAAAAACAAATAACCAAATTAAAAAATGGGCAAAGTAGTCTAATAGACATTTTTCAAAGGAAGACTTACAAATGGCCAATAGGTGCATGAAAAAAATGCTCAACATCACTAACCATCAGGGAAATGCAAATCAAAACCACATTGAGATATCATCTCACCAAGTTAGACTGGCTATTATCAAAATGACAGAGAACAACAAATGCTGGTGAAGATGCAGATGAAAGGAAACCCTTCTACACTGTTGGTGGGACTGTAAATTAGCACAGCCTTTATGAAAAATAAATGGAGATTTCTCAACCAGACATAGAACTAGGAATCCCATTACTGGGTATATACCCAAAGGAATGGAAATCATCATGTTGAAGGGAAACCTGCACTCCCATGCTTATTACAGCTCTATTTACAATAGCCACGATATAGAACCAATGTAAATGTCCATTGATGGATGACTGTATAAAGAAAATGTGGTATATGCATAAATGCAATAGTACTCAGCCATAAGAAAGAATGAAATTCTGCCATTCACAGCAACATGGGTGAACGTGGAGAAAATTATGTTCAATGAAATAAGCCAGGCACACAAAGAGAAATATCGCATGTCTGTACACAAAAATGGGAGCTAAAAATGAAAGAAAGAGAGAAAGAAAAGAAAGAACGAACAATCATTAATAAGTCAAACTTTCAGAAGGAGAGACCAGAACTGTGGTTATTAGAGGGGAAATGGGAAGAGGGAGGGGGGTTTAGGGAAAAATTAGTTGACGGACACAAAGAATGAATACATTTTGTAATGACGAATATGCCAACTATCCTGATTTGTTTATCACGTTTATTACATATTGTACAGAAACACTGATAGTCAACTCTGTACCCCACGAGTATGTATAATCAATAAAGTTTCAATAAAAATAAAATAGTCACTAGTCAATCCAAAAAAAAGTTCATGAACAGATCCATATCTTTTAATTTTCCACGAATTTTTTGAAGTACCCTTGAATTTATCAAGTAATAGTACCAAGAAATATTTATGAGCTTGCCCTCAGACATGGAGTCAGATGCTGAAGCATTCAGAATCCTGATGGTACCATCTTCTACCAATAATGCAGACCTTAAAAAACATAATGAGATTTTTTTTTTTTGCCATTGTTCTTCATAACTAATTCTCCTTGTCATCTTAATGTTGGTTATTAACTCTAATGAGCACAGATATTAATAAATGCATTCAAGCCACACATGAATGTTTGTTATTAGCTTACCTGTGCCTATTGCATGCACAAATTTATCTTCATATTATCTGAACTTTGTTACAAATGATAGTAAAAGTGAAATTTGTAGCTTAATGAACTTGAGAAATCACTTGTTCTGCCTCTCGTTCTTCATCAAGTCCACTCATTTTTACTTGTTTTACAGGCAACTGAGGTCCAGAAAGTTCAAGTGACTTGAGAACACAGTACTCTTAGTAAACTATGCTCACACCTTCATCCATCTCCCATGGTGGCAAGATTTCCTCCTTTTTCTTGGACAGTCTGTACCAACTGCTTGAGGTGTGCAGGCAGGTGAGTCAAGTTGTGCACTGCTCTTAAATTTTTGTCAAAGTGAAGCACAGCTCAAAATTGCCAATAAAAATAAATGTCTTCACTTTTGCTAAGTAAGGGGTCCAAATAGTCTCAATTTTAGGAAACATAATGATGAGGGTTCCATCTCCCAAGCAAACAAATTAGATAAGAGTTGTAGAAAATTTACTTATAGAATAATATTAAGGATCTAGCTCCTGAAACCAGACAGATACTTTTTCATAGCTGAGACTACTATTCGCAGCATTCCTCGGGTTTCACTGGCACTGAGATAATAATTAGCAATGCATCTGTATTCACCTTCCTCTAACGATCGAGTCAAGAAGTCATGGATCGTTATTTGGAGGGCTGTAGAATAAGCCATAGCTTAGCAAAGGGACTGAAACACGTTCAGAAGAAGATGCTATTGGTAAATGCCCTCAAATTATATAATCTGGAAAAATACAATGTATATCTCAGAAAATTGGAGGAATGGAGAACCAGGTAACCTGAATCTCTGTCTTCTGGTAGTACAGACTAGGTAGTTTAAAATTTAGGTATTGCTTTTCTATAAAAGCATTTCCATCCAAACCAATAATAACAAAATAAGAAAAAACAGTTTTTGAGAAATATTATAGAATTATGATATTTAGAAATAAAAGGACCCAGTAGAGTTGGGAAAATCTGGAAGACTCTGAGGAAGACACAGCCTTGCCAAAGTTGCTGGTTCTCATGATTTCCTTCCACAAATCTTCATGAACTGCTTTGCACCAGAGATCTCCCAGGGCTCTGAGGTGAATATTAATTTAGCAGAAAGATCCTCCTCCTGCTACATGGACAGGAGGTCCAGACACAGTGAAATCAGTAGAGCCCAGCTGGTCTTGTTTTCTGGAATATACAAATGGTACTTAAAATTTGTGGAAAAAAAGAATTAAAAGAAAATATGAATCTTTCCATGAACTTTTTGAAGACCCCTCATAGTTAAAAGCAAAGCTCATACCATCTCAACTTCTGGAAGCCTTGAGGATAAAAACAGCTGATGACCAGGGTGAATGATGGTCTCAGTAGTCCCTGATTGATGTGTCTCAGTACTTAATGTGTGGAAGTCCTAGAAATATAGAGGACTCCTGAAAAGAACCTCTGTTCATTTCTCTGCCAACACTCATTCCCCTCTCTCCGCCAGATTGCTTTCCATTCCTTTGTCCTTCTTGTATGCTCTGTAGTTCATGGTTTGGGGTGTGCAGAGAGTGGGGTGTGGATGGTGAGTTCACTTCATGTTAAGGTGATGCATTGTTAAAATGCTAACTACTTCTCTTGCATTTTCTCAGTTAGTGCAAAGATCCTGATGACAGACTTTCTCCTGGTTTTGCATGTGCTATTAAGGTCCAAAAATCAAGATTAGAGTGGTAAGGGCAAAGGGCCAGATGTAATAGAAATCGATGGATATCATAAAAAGGCAACTGGACTTGGGAAGTCTGAGTGCTGGTCTTTGCCCTGCCATGTACTTATCTGTGTGACCCGAGGAAAGACACTTAACTTCTGGGCCTCAGCATCTCATCTACAAATAAGAGAGTAGTACTCTAAGTTCCTGTCTAGCTTTGTGACATTTATGAATCTTTCTTGGCCCTTAGGGAGTAGAATGCTAAGTTCAGAGGCTTCCTCTGATTGAATGTATGTCAAATTCTCAGAGAACCCAGACTTCATAGTTCAAAATTCAGTTCCAGATTTTTGTGGAGATGGGAAAAGGTATTAAATACCTTCACTGAATTCTTTCCAGCATAGTGCACTGCTGCGGTTGAGACTCAACAGGGTCATCACCTCTGATACACAGAACTTCTCATCATCTGACAGCAAGACTAGAGTTTCCAAGGACATTCAGGCTGGCAAGAACTGCAAGCACTGTAAACATGTGAAGAACCCTTCTAGTAAGGCATATGCTTGTTCTTCAACACAATTTCCTAATTTGGTGACTGCACATGCATCACC